TTTTACTTGGATTGCCCGTTGATGGCATTCCATTGTCGGGGGGCACCAGTCGATCAAGAGATCAGTGGATTCAGATTTGTCATGACATGATGGGTTTTAGACCCGAACCATCTGATATTACATCTTCTACGATTAAGATATCTGCAATTGATCCGAAGGCGCTGACAGAGAATAGTGATGAAGTTGATTACCAACAGCATGCTAAAGCTATCATGTTTAAGTTGATGGGTGGCAGCTTATTTCCCAACACGACGGGAAATAAGGTTAGTTTGTATTTGTTGGAGGTAATCATGGGTGACTCTGTGCTGGTGCGAGGTCGTGCCATAGGTGCTGCGGTTCTTAGTTTCTTGTATCGTAGTATGTGTCGTGCTAGCATGACTCATGTATCTCAGATTGGAGGGTGTCTTATCCTCTTACAGCTTTGGGCATGGGAACGTCTGCCTATGACTAGACCTAGGGGGGTTGTACCATTGGAGCAGCTGGTTAATGTTCCATATGGAGTCAGGTATTTTCCATTTATTTATGTCTATCATGCATTTACTCAATTTATTATATCCATGTTAATGTTTAATCCTCCATTGGTAGATGGGTGTGTTATCATCGGTGGTCAGATTGTACGACACACTCCTTACGAACGTACAGAGACCAGCTAGATAGGTTGCTCGAGGGAGAGGTAAGTACTAAACAAATCACAGTGTTATGCATATATATTATATTTTAAATGGCTATTGTATTCCTTTTTTATTTATGCAGTTTGTTTGGATGCCGTATCCGATTGTCGATACCTTACCACCCTATTGTTCAGCCGGACTTCGAATATGGATTTCACGCATCCCTTTGATCTACGCTTATGTCGTGGAGATGTACTATCCGGATCGATTTTGCAGACAATTTGGTGCCCGCCAAGGTGTTCCTCTCGATGTTGTTTATGATCGACACCTACATAACATTAAGTCGACCACTATGGAGCTCGGAGACAATGAGAGACATTATTTAGGTGTATGGGAGGGACGTTATGCTGCAAATGTAGTGATGGAATTTGGGATGTCGGATGTCACGCCTGAGTACCGTCAGTGGTATTACCTCCATGGTCGAAGACAGATAGGAAACCCCGCACATCAGCCTGGAATAGGCTATGTCCCCATTTCTCCTGAGCTACAGACAGCCGTATGTATTACTTATATTCTATTTACTTTTTGTTATAATTTTTTATGCGACTAATAATGGTATTGTGTGTAGCTATCCTGATAGGCACAGTGGGATTGAGCATGCATTTGAAAATGTCCCAGAGTTAGGTGGAGGTCGAGTGACTAGAAGATATTGTCTACGCCACCTACGCAGCAATTTCTGGAATAAGTTCCGAAGTAAGAAGTTGCGGACCTTGATGTACAAAGCTGGTAAAGCCCCGAATAGAAGTGAGTTTGACCAGTTGCTACTCCAAATAGCATCCAAAAATCAAGAAGCCTACAACTGGCTTAATGCCATTCCAGAACACAAGTGGGCTTTGTCACATGATGAAGGTGGGTCACGTTATGGTGTAATGACAACAAATTCCTCAGAAAGTTTCAATCATGTCCTTAAAGGATGTCGTTGTTTGCCAGTATATGCAATTGTGATGTTCACCTATGATAAGTTGGTCAAACTTTTCGCTGAGAGGCGAACAAGTGGGTATGTATGGCAGCAATCCGGGTACAATTTTCCTATGAATGTGTGGAAACATATTAGGAAAAATGAAGAAAATAG